CACCCACACCCACACCCACCCATACCCACACCCACACCCACATCCACACCCACACCCATACCTACACCCACACCCACAGCACACATTCACATACTCACCACACATTCACACTCTCAGCACACATTCACACCCTCACCACACACCGACACCAACATCCACACCCACACCCAGACCCAGACCCACACTCACACCCACACCCATACACCCACACCCACACCTAACACCCACACCCACACCCCACACCCACCCACACCCATACCCATACTCACACCAACACTTACACCCACACCCTCACCACACACCGACACCAACATCCACACCCACACCCAGACCCAGACCCACACTCACACCCACACCCACACCCACATCCACACCCACACCCTCACACCCACCCACACCCACACCCACACACCCACACACCCACACCCACACCCACACCCTGTTTTTTTATTTGTATATTAATTGGTACTGTGATATTCCAAGATTCAAGTTTGACATGTGTGATAGATTTCTGTGAATAGAATGAATCTATGAGATAAGCAAGTAGAGTAAAGAAGATGCCATGACTAAAATGTGAGCTTATGTGAGATTTGCTCACATTTTAACTTTTTTCAAAAAAGCCTTGTTGTTTTTTTGATCAACGCTACCCGAAGAAATTAAGCGACTTGTATGCTTATCAATGTTGTCGTTAATGTTGCAGCAGTTTTGGTTTTTTTTCTCGATTTTTTTGATCATACATCAGTGTATGTATTATTCCTTTCTTGCTTTCTTTTTTTTGCGACCATTCAGACATACATACTCTTACGAGTCAGTTTTTAAAGTTTACTTTGTAAAAATAACACTGAGAAAAAACAACAAGAAATGCATTTACGCAGATGATACTGTCATTACCTCGTCACTTTGAGTTTCAACGAAAAGCATCAGTTGCTAATTGGTTAAGTCTGTATTTTTCATCTTATTCATACTTTTTTAAAATATTCTCACGGACATTCGTCTGTAACTGTGATCATTGAGTTTAATAAATTCCTTCATTATTGTGGCTTTATGTCTACAGTACTGTGTTAATTTAAATAGTGTCAAACCGATTCCATCAATGAGGTGAGTAGCTTTCATCTTTAAGTCACCGCATACTTCGTCCCTATTTATGAGATGAGTTAGCGCAAGACTTTTGTAGAATTGGAATCTTTTGTCAAAATACTTCTAGTTGTCATGGCAGCAATACTGTTTAGGTGGTGCCATTGTAGCTATTGAAGTTGTTAGTTACATTTCTGTGAAAGATACAGAAATAACCGCCACTTCTACAACAGCTAGTAAGAAAAGTCATCCGTTTTTCACAATTATCATACAATTCTTGTTTTGCTGATACCAGTATTATAAAGACAAATCAACAGTAATTGAATGACAGTTTTCATTAACAGGAAATCATTTACCGAAATAATGTACAGGGTGGGTAAAAATATTTTTGCAGGGAGATAGTACTATGATTTCATATAGCATCAATAACAAATATTATATCAAAGTGAACTACATCGAAAATGGAATATATCGCTGCTAAATAGTGAAGGATAAAGCAACTCTTTAGTGTTGAGTTTAGGGAATTTTTAGAATTCTACGTCATATTGACACTGAAAAGTCATTTTCATGAGGTTCTTCAAACTCGATCTCATTTAAAATGTAATATCACAAAGTGCTATTTATCTCTTAAGTTTTAATGAATGTGACCAATAATCAATAAGATGGTCGTTGGCTTTCTTTACAGCACTAAGATGAAACGGATACGAACATGAAATAGTTTAAAATAACTGAATGCTTATTTTCATGCTTGTCGAAATATCTGAAATATGTTTTTCAAAGTTTCTTCATCGTAATGATTGTGTTCCGTCCCCGATAGCAATGTGATTTCGTTTTATTTTTTGTTATTGTTTCAATATTTTCGGGTCAGGTGTCAAGTGCTTTGCGTTATTTCTCATTTTAAATTAGATCTAACCTGAACTGCTTGATGAAAGTAATTTTTCAGTGTCAATATGGTATAAAATTCTAGGAATTTCCTGAACTCAGCACTAAAAAGTTGCATTACCCTTTACTAATTAGCATCGATAAATTCCATTTTGGATGCGTCTTAATTTGCCATAAAACTTGTGATGGTTGCTAATTGAATTCCTAGCGTTATCCCTGCCCCCCTCCCGCTGCCCTTGGAAAAATATTTTTACCCATTCTGCACTATCGTTTTGTAAGCTTAGAGCTTGATTTCGATTGTCAGAGTAACTTTTGCATGAGATTCGTTTTTTAATTGAACCCTCGGGGAAACTATGGGTGAGTTTATCAACGACAGAAAACTTACGAATATTTTTGGAATACATATAAGTGAGCTCAGTTTTGCATGCTGATTCAAAAGAAGTTGACGGAAAAAACCAAAGGAAGGCAATAGAAAAATTGAAGTCTACAGTACACATGCAGTTATCTTTTTGGAGGTGTAAGCGTAGATGTGTGGGTATGAGTGAGCAAATTGAGTATTCGCATCCACGCTCCAAACCTCACACTCATGCTCTAAACTAATTCGAAATATTTGCTGGTCGGATCAATTTTATTGATGCAAGGACAAACAAAAGGTGAACCTCTGCTGGTAGTTTTAATTGTTTTTCTTTTTTTCTGCGTATTTAAATATCATGTCTCAGTAGCATTTCTGAGACAGAATAGATTCCTTTTCAATATTTTACATTCCGGCATGTTTCTTTCGATATTTATCTCTGTCAAGTTTTTTCTATTTGACGTTATCCTTATGCCATTTCAACCCGTCTACATTCTCCTTGTCGACGTTTTTCATCAAATCGATTCAGAATATCATATCAGTTTTCAATTGAATCGTATTTTTCTAATCGAAATCAACTGAATATCAAGAAAAAAATCATAAAACCATGCCATAACAGTAGTTTCCTTGAAGTTTCTTGATGTGAGCAGCTTTTTTCTCAGAGAATACATCCTATTCCCCGATGTTGAACATTGCGGAATCAGTTCCGCCCCCGGAACCAGTTCCATCCAATTCCGGGAACTCTATCATCATTCAATATAACAGATCGACTCGTCACTGACCGAGTTCCATCAAATTCCCGGAATTCCCAGAACTAAGTTCAGACGGAATTACCCCGAATTCCCAGCAATTCCGGAATCGGACGGAATTCTATCCGATTCCGGAATTCCGGGAAGTGCTTCCGATTCCGGAATTGGTGGGGATTGCATCTCCACTCAATTCCCGGAATTCCGGAATCGGACGGAATTTCCTGGAATTCCGTCCAATTCCGTGTAATTCCGTCTCGACTCAATTCCCGGAATTCCGTAGCGGAATTACTTCCCGCCCTCACCCTCACGCATGGTGTTGTGACTGAAGATTATCCTCTCGCATAAGTAAGTAATTCCGGTACGGAATTCCGGGAATTGAGTCGAGAGGGAATCGCAGGGAATTTCCGGGAATTCCTAGGAATTCCGGGAATTGATTCCAATTCCGGAGTTTGTGGGGATTCCATCTCCACTCAATTCCCGGAATTCCGGGATCTGACGGAATTCCGTTCAATTCCGGAATTGCTGGGAATTGGGTGGAATTCCTTCCGGTTCTGGAATTACTGGAAAATTGGAGTAATTCCGTCTGGACTAAGTTTCGGGAATTCCGGGAATTGACGGAACTCGGTCAGTGGTTAGTAGGTCTGTTGTTGGGAATGAGGATCGAGTTCCTGAAATTGGATGGAACTGGTGCCGGGTGCGGAACTGATTCCGCAATGTTCAACATTACGGAATAGGATGACTGCTCTTTCTTTTGGGTTAGCTTGAAATAATTTATATATTAATTGGACTGTAGTTTAGAATGACGTTCGAATACCGTTTCGTTCATATGAAATGCGCATCCAATAAAGCAAAATTTACTCATGAGAAGTTTAGAAAATAGAGCGATAATATCTCATTCAGCGAACAGTGGTGAAAACATCGAATGTTTCACTTCAGCTATCATCGATGGAAGATATTTTTTTACGATCTTACATTTCGAGTACCAAAACTCTAGATTTAAAACAGAAATTGTGCAAACTTTCACTGAAATGATTCCAGGATACATGTGATTGTTTCAAACAATATTGCTTATTCTCAATGCTACGTGCTTTTTTCATTTGGTTTTAGATAACCTATTCATTGCACAGTAACTCAAATCAGTCATTGTTCAACATGGCCACTGGACTAGCAACACGAAGTGTTCAACAACGTATTTCACGCATCATAGATATGAATGATAATTTTCACGGAACAGTCTCAACAATCAGTGACTTTGAAAAAATACCACTTGTTCCGCTTGATATTGCTATAGAACCGTTAACATCTTTGTTACCTAATATTGAGAATTATGCAGTACATGCTATAGAACAATGCAAAAATCCACCGGCGGATGGACTCACAAAAGATATGTCTGGTGCAATCAGACTTTATTCGATGGAAGAACAGTTCCGAGGTGAACCTCTATATGCTATATTGAATAGTCTGCTACGGACAGAAAATAAACAACAACTTGAGCCATGGCTATTCTATCTTAAACTACTAAAAACTGCACTTTCACAACTTCCATCCATGCGTCAAGTTATCTATAGAGGAGTCAAATTAGACTTAAGTAACGACTATAGCACTGCGAAAAAAGTGAAATGGCCAAGCTTTTCATCGTGCACTGGCTCAATTACTGTTTTACAGTCAGAACAGTTTTGTGGCATGACGAGTCCAAGAACAATGTTTGCTATCGAATGTTGTTCAGGCAGAAACATTCGTAATCATAGTCATTATCCATCCGAAGAAGAAATACTTCTTCTTCCTGGAACTGAATTGGAAGTTACTGGTTTTCTGAAACTAGCTGACAATATTCACATGATTCAACTAAAAGAAATCGAAGCAGCTCGTCTCCCATCGTCACTACTACCTCCTCGTGATTTCATCAAGCCAAACTGGGGTAAGAAAAAAGTGCATAAAACTTTTTCAATATCTATACGTCGAATTAGTTATTCTAGAAAAGTTCATTTCATTAGTGAAGATGTAAATTAACTATATGTGACAACATTTTTAAGCGTTTCTTAACATACGTTGTCGTAAAATAAGTTGTGAATTTTTTCTACTAAGAACAGACAAAAAAATATAATAAGAAACTTCTTTCTAAATTGGAATAGTGTCAAATGTTGATTTTTGTCAGAGATGCTAAGTGTTTAGATAGAAGAGATACAATGCAATATTTAATGCTACACAGAAGAAATCCGAAGGTTTGTAACCACTAGAATGAAACTTTCAACTAGGAAACTTCAAAACACATATGACATTTACAACTATCTCTAGAATCCATATTAGAATTAGAAAAAAAACATATAGTTCAAAAGAATATCACTTCTAACTGTTCTTTTACTTTTCTAACAGAAGTTGATGAAAATGATAAATCAAACGGTCCTGTTACTGCCTCAAAAACTCAAGTTGACAAATTTAAAGATACTTCAAGGAAGAGAAAACAAGAAGAATCAAAGCCAAAACTAAACAAAACTACCAAGTATAAGAAAACAAAAGGTATGCTCAGAAACTTTGAATATATTGTATTTATTCTTCTCTACTAAGTCGTAATAAGAGTTGGAACAAGCTTGTTTCGGAATAAATTGTTTCTAAAAGAAAAAATATATAAATTTCGGTGCATTGTCAACTTTTATGTCACTGATTAATCATCATGTGACATTTATATACTAATGATTTCTTTTATAATATTGATCGTATCACCTGGAATACAAAAATATAACACTATTTAAAAATTATATCGCTTCTTTTATTATAATTTTCCATTGATTGACACAAATCATTACGTTATGTTTAGAGTATATGCATCTTACCATGATTTGAAATGTTTTTGAGAAATAACTCGAAAACTTCTCAAATATAATATAATCAACGATTAAATCATATGAAGTGTTTTTCTTACTTATTTGTCTTTTCGTAGATGACTTTACAAATTCAGTCTATAACTTGTCTCCATCCAATAGTTACTCTGAAATTGAAACTAATCCTCCCGAATTATCTACTTCGTGTCCTTGTTTCGAATCAAGCTCAATTATATTTAATGAAATCTTTGAACAATATATTGGTGATATTCAAATAGAAGACAAGGGCAATGTTGCTTCACATGGTACATCAATCAATGGTGGGGAAGTACGTGGAAAAAACGAATATACATCAGGTAAACATCGATTACGATTTAAAATTGAAAAATCTTCTAC